AGAGGAGGCTGAGAAAGCAAGCTTTTGGCTTTGGCTCTGGTGGAAGGATGACAGTTAGCCGGCAACACCACAGTAAAGGCAGCTGCTGGGGGTGCCACAGAGACATCCCCGGTGTGCCACTGCCCCCCACTGGGAGATGTACTGGGATAGGGGGCAAAACATCCATGGATGGCGACCTCCAGTTGATGTGGTGGTGTGAAGACTCCAGTGACACTTAAAGCACCAGGGAACAACTTTGTTAGCTGACCAACGGGTTTCGGCTTGTGGCCTGCATCGGGGTCATCACAAAATACCAAACAGTGTGTGTTTCGATAAAACAAAGAAATACAGGTGAACCAGTCACACATTCACGCATAAACAAGCTGACCAATCAGCATTTAAGGGGGTGGTACTGGCTGATTGGTTGAATCAGAGGCCAAACAGGCTCTGGCCTGAGCCAGGACAGATTTAGGGCTTCAGTTGATGACCTTGCAGCTGACCTTCTGGCACTGGCGGTGACATGACTGGCTCAATGACAAAGCAGGAAACATGCATTAAGCATTAAAACTCTTTGATGTGTAGTATTATTTCCCAGCTGACTGACTCATTCCAGTTTTATTTATCCAAATGCAGTAGCATTTAAAACTATTCTAACTATATATTCTCACAACGACTGTACTGATTCTCATGTATAATTGAAAACTGACATTATTGACATGATGTGAAAACATATACAAAAAAATTACAACTGCAACCATTGCAAAAAGACAAAAACACATTTTTGAATGCACTGAATCTCCAGTTGCTATACAGCCTCAGTGTTTGGATACGCTTACGGTCTCTGATACTATTTTAAGGTATGCTCATAGATTAAAGGTGGAGAGCCAACACGACTAGCACATGAAGTTCCAGAAGCTGCTGGCAGCCCACAGTGCTGAGTGGACACGGGCGTAGCTGCACGAGTGCTGACAGGACAGAGTGCCACAGCTCCAGGTACACTGACGACCGTGATGAGAGCTAAACGCTGTATTTTACAGTTCACATGGTCGGTTTGGTGCGATAAAGAAAAAGTATGCAGATTTAATTTGTGCTGCTGTGTGTGAAATGATGTTGCCAAACACACTGAGCACATCAGGAAGTAAGGAAGAGGTTTCAGCAGAGTTGAGCCGTTGTTCTTAATGAAAGCCTTTCGGTGTTTCTCTGGCCATTGGCTACATTTTTAACTCATTTTCACTCCAGTCCCTGAACATATCACCGTCGCCAGGACAATAGTGTTTTGTTTTGTTGACCTATGAATCAGTCAAACATAAAAAACACACCGAACTCAAAGAATGAACCTGTGATGTGTCTAACACATAACTCAGCAAACAACACATCTTAAACTGTATCTTTAGGCTCTATGTTACCAGCAGCAAAAAAACCGCACAGACCTTTTCTCATTTCTGTGGTTCTATGAAAAATGCCAAAGATAACCCAGTTTGACAAACAAAACATAACAAGGTGATTCCCAAAGAGTTATTAACCGAAATTAGGCAACTCAGCTCAGTTTAAAGGCGAGTTAGTCAAGTACGGGACAAAGGAATACCGTGTAGGCCTGGAAAAAAAGAATCCATGATTTAGAATATTGAATATAAAATGATGTTCATTTAGAAAAATATGGTCTAAAAACAAAAAGAATATAAATGAAAAAAGATGATGCGTTGTAAGGTGACCCTTTAACCGGGAAGCACTGGCCCAGAGTTTCTCAGGAACATGCTGCTCACACGTGGCAACACAACAGGATAGCAACAGTGTAACACTCGGCTCAGCACCTCACACCTCGCTAAACAATGGGTGACATCACGGTGGCCATCTTTTATGTACAGTTTATGCTTTAAGCATAAAACGCCGAACACCATCAACTAACTAGAATAATACTGAATCCGTACAAATGAAAGTTACAAGGATAACAAAGAGATACATTTGTGACATGAGACATATTTGGCTTTCTAAAAGAGCAACGATATAAAAGTGACTACTGCTGAAATATAATCGACATGTGTTTTAAAGCACACTTACTTTTTACATTTACAATTTTCAGAAGGCCCAGTTAGCACCAGTTGGCACCATTATAATGGTTATAAGACACTTCTCTGTCTTCTCTGTTTGAGGTGTGGAAAGACAGACACAGTATTACTGACATTATGTCACAATAACCTGCTCGGGCTCCATGTCTAATGCTCGTCACAGCCCGCAGTCGCTGTGCTGTAGAGCGCCGGCTGTCTTTCCACCCTTGAGAGACTTGATCACCGCCTTGGTCTCGTCAGAAGTGAAGGCACCAGTGTCCACAACGAGTTCATCATTTTTGGCTAAGTCATCATCCAACAAAGGCATATCTGTGGCAGGTTGATTCAGGAGATCTTTGAAGTGCGCTACCCAGCGCTTATCGTGGTCTTTCTGCGTGAGGAGAGGTCTGCTGTCAAGGTGACGGTAAGATCGCGCACGATCCGGAATAGCGTTCTCGTATCGTTCCGATCAGCAGCTTTCCGCTCGACCCATTTGCGTTTATCCTTTCGACAGCTTCGCTTCACCTGCCAATCGGGGCGTCGGTACCACTCCTCTGCGGCTTGCTGTTGTTTATTTCATGCCGTCTGATCCCGGGCGATTTTCGCTCTTCGTTGTTCATTGACTAGCTGCCATGTTCGATCTTGGATTCAACGTTCCTCGAAGGTCCCTCTTCACCGACCGATGGCATTTTCGACGCTGGCCACCATGGCGGTTCGAAGGGCAAGTGGAGGAGGGGTTAAGTAAGTCAGATTATAGTGAGATCAGAGCCAAGAAGTGGTAGAAATGCTTTATATAGTGCACAGTCAAACTATATAATGGTGTCTTTGATTTTGTCTGAAAGTACAGATATAGACACAGATTTTAAGGCATGAGGCCTGTGTTTGGGCACATAGTGGCCCAGTACCAACAATCACAGTATCATTAGGTGGATTTCTAGGTTCAAATTAGGTCAGTGACATGAAGTGATATGACAAGACAGACCAAGCAGTTTAAAAGAGGTGCTAAGGTTTAGGCTGAAAGGAAGGCCTGGTTCACCGGAAACATCAGCAAAGAGTAAAACGTACTTAAGTGTATCTGTATTTCTGACTGCACGGTAGCCTGTGTCAGAGCGCTAAAATTGAGCTTAAGCGCTAAAAGCGGCTTTAAAATAATCTGGGTGGGATTAAAGGCTGCAGTGTGCAGATGTGGAGCACAGAGGATGCTGATGTTAATCAGTAACTACTGCATGAGCCTCCCTCCTCACACACTCATGATCTACACAGTGCCACCGTGTTTGGGGAGAGAAAAAAACATGGAATTCGACCTGACCCAGATGAATCTGTGGCAAGGATTCATCGTTATCCAGCGAAGGAAAAACAAGTTCTGAAACACAAAAACATGTGAATCCATGCACAGCATCTGTGTGAAGAGAGGGCAGTATGGGGTCACACCGAATCAGCAGGCATCAGTGACAACGATGGAGGCAGTCAGCATAGAAACAACACACAGCTCTGAGCATCTGAGGGCTGGGCAGGTAGAGACCATCGTTCAGTTAACAATCGTTTTTATCAATGACCTTTCTTTCTGATGAAAGCAAGACAATAACTAAATAAACACTAATAATCGAAGGAAAGGAAACGATGATGAAATGTAGCAAAACTTTCATTAACGAATAAATAAACAAAAATCCCGGAGAGACAAGATCTCATCAGAAGTGCTCGAGGTGCAGAGCAAGGAGTTTGAAAGTGAGCAGGTCAGAAGAAGAACCTCCCTACGGTTAGGTGGACACATTCGATGTGTTTGTCATGAGTAGCACGTTACTGTAACCAGATTACTTTTTTCAAGTAACAAGTAATGTAAGGGATTACTATTGCAGAAAAAGTAGTTACATTACAGTTACATTCCCGTAAGCACGCTGCGTTACAGCGTTACTAAACTGTGATTTTGTTTGTGAGAGTGTCTCGTGACAATGACGTACGAGCGTGTGACGTCCGTGGCAGCAACAGACGTGGATAACATGGAGTGATGGAGAGAGTACGCGTTGTGGAAGTAATCAGATTACTGTGAGTTTGAATCTGTTAAAAGTGACACAAACATCAGCGTCTGCTGTTCACTCTGTGTGGGAAGGAAACTTCTTTCTGCAGCGAAAAAATGAAACTTCAAATCTGAGCGAGCAGCGAGCGCGCCGCCACGGCAACGTGACATTCACAGAGAAACCCCCGGACCCCCCCACTGACATGACCGCTGTGGGCAAACCTCCACCCGCCCCACTCCTGATAAACAGGTGGCAATAGATTTAAGAGCTGCTGAGTCTTTGATTCTATTTATTTTCTGCTGTGTTTTACTCGCATCTATTTGAAAGAGTGTAAACACAAAACATGATTTTATCTGCTGGAACATGCAGACGATAGGTTTCCATGTTAAACACGTTTCTGCCAGTCAGAGAATGTTGCAAATAATTTAATATTTGCTTGATGCATAAAGTTAAAAAGATGAAAACTAATAAAACTTTTTCATTGGATTCAGTTTCATATGATGGATTATGCAGAAACAGTCGAACACGGCTGAAAGCTAACACTGTTGCTTTATTACATATTCAGGTTGTAACTCATGTTTTTGAAAAACAACTAAGTAACTAATTACTTAATCAGTAATGTAACAGGATTACTTTTTGGAGATGTAATCAGTAATTAGTAACTAATTACTTTTTTCAAGTAACTTGACCAACACTGCTGGTCAACAGTCACACTTTGCTTCCTTGACAGTGAAATTTTTGAAGGCCTAATAACGCACCAAAACTGCAGAGAGATACTATTGAGACCTTGAGAAACAGTCTGCAGACGTGTATCGTGTTCTTTGCCTTGTTTTAGTGTCTGACTTGGAACACTGAATGAATATGAAGTAGCAGTGAGATGTGTCTGATGTGCTGTGACAACAATGGATGTGGCAGCATGTAGCAGACAGCAGCGCTATAAAACCACCGAGAGCATCCACACCTCGTTGCTTTCTTCTGCTGCGCTTGAACTGAAGTGAAGAACTTTTCTCCGTCTCACCGGACAATAATCAAAGAGTCCAGTCCTCATGATGATGATGATGATGATGATGCGCTCTGCTGTGAGCGCTGCAGGCCTGGGTACCAGAGCGCGGTGCTGTTCATGCTCATAATGTATGAAAGCACGAAACGGAAGCATCTCTTGGTGCGCTGGTTGTGTAACACGAATGCGCGGATTGCGGTGGTCACGGATAAAGAAGTAGTGCATCCGCTCATGCTGTTACATCATCGCTGTATCATCAGACACGACCTTCTACCATGCAGAAATCATCCAAACTCCACTAACGCTGTTTTTCTGACCCGTTTTCCTGCATTTTGCTGCCGTGACTCAGTCAACACTACAGCCCGGCGCTGAGCGTGGGACAATAAAAGGGGCGGTAGGTGTACCTGTCTGCAAATGGCGCTGGATGTGTGCGTGAGCAGCTCGTGTGATGCCGAGGATCACTCACCCGCTCACCTCAGAGCATCCGAAAAGAACAGGTCCTGTTTGAAAGCGGTGTCAGCGTGCACTCGTCCTCACAGGCATCAGTTAGAGAGCGCGCTCATTCATCAGCGTTATCAAGCGGCTTTAACAAAGTGTTTGGGTACCAGGCGCCAGATGGCACTTTGCCCTGAGCATTGTCTGACAGACAGCGGTACGTGCAGGCTAGAGGTGCATGTACGGACCGCTTCGTTGTCATGTCAGCAACAGCCGCCTCATCGTAAGGCAGACCCTACCCTGTCCACATACAGCAGTACTCAACAGCCTTAATATATGCAGTCAGTTCTAGGACCTGCTGCATTCTCTGGGCATACTTATATGGCACTTTATACAACACTCACACATTCATACGAGCACCACTGTGCAGTAAACCACACTGTAAACATACAACACTATTTATTTATTTCTCCTGATTTGTATATTTGTACACTTAAAATACTGTTCATATGTCTGCGCTGAGTGGGAGCTGCTCTGTATCTCACTGTGTGTGTACGGTGACAGTAAAAGGCATTCTGTTCTATATCCTGCTTCAGAGAGCAACTTGGTATGAGTATGCTGCTAAGGATATCTGGCATGCAGGCTTGTAGATGTCCTGCTCGACCTCCTGAGCTACATCCAAGTAAATGCAGAAACAATACCACTACAGCTTAGAAACAACAAAGTAGCTAAAGAGAAAGCCAGCCTGTAAGACAACAATGAGGAACAACACGGCCCACTTTACACCCTCTGCCACCCCCTTCCTTCTACAGAAGGGTGGAGTTTTGAATGTAATGAGACCAGTGTATATGTAGAAGTAGCCAATGCTAGCAGAGCAGACAGCAGCGTTCACCAATCAGAGCTCAGGAAGCTGCTGCTCCTGGCAGAGCTCCACCATCAGTAACCAAGGGTCCCCGCCATGAAATCAGTGCATCCATCATCAGTGAGCCACTGGAAACAGCAGCAGCTAGAAATGAGCTGAAATGATGTACAAGGTTGATTTTCTCTTTCTGATGAAATTTGAAAGCAGCCTGCATCGGACAGCTCGTGTGGCAAGCAGAAAGATCTCACAGGTATCTGGACACTCGCTGTTATATAACAGGCCAACAATCACACGATCTCATGTGAAACAAGATCCTGTGATCCGAGCAGCCAGAGGAGCTCGTGGATGAGCTTTTAGATCCTCTGAGGAAGAGCGCAAACATGCTTATTCACACTTTCTCCACAAAGCAGAATTATTGGTGCGCTGCACGACGCCAGGAACCAGAGACCTCTGACACGCATGTTTGTACGGCAGCTACAAACTAGTGATGCGCGATTCCACTGATTCCCTTTCTGATCCGATACCAAGTAAAATCCAGGGTGGTATCGACGATACTGACCCGATACCACCCTGGATACTCTGTACAAAAACGTAATGTTTCATTGTGTTTCATAATACAACATAGAATTGCATTATGTAATTGTAATAATAATATAGCTTCATAATGATTACAGGACATCAGACTACTTGTTCTCATTGCTTAATGATGCAGAGTTCACCATATAGAAATAAAAACCTGAAGTTGTGCTATTTGAACACGTTGCCTGCAGCACTAAAGGACTCCGTGAGAGACGTCTGTCTCGCCCTAGCAGCACCTGTCCCTGTCCTCCTCTTCAGTCTCAACATACGCTCGTCATATTCTGTGATATGATTTACTCTGAGGTGTTTGATGAGGTCAGCGGAGTTACCACAACTCCTCACTTTCTTGCCACATGTATCGCAAACCACGTCTTGGCTGTTTGTGGAGGTAAAATACGTCCACACATGACTCCAATTACACTCAGCCATTGTTGTGAGTGCGCACACCAGGGGCTGTGACACAGTTATACAGCCCTGTTTCACACATGACTATGAAAGGCAGAAGAGGAAGTAGTTCCTGCCAATTTAGACGATCCGAATGATATAGTTTCTTTCCACTGTGTTCCTGTCAATGAAAAACTACAAATTTACTCCAGAGTACTAACACATCGATGTTTTAATATGAGAATCGATTCTAGAACAGCACGGTGGCACGGTGGTTAGCACTGTTGCCTCACAGCAAGAAGGTCCTGAGTTCAATTCCACCATCAGGTCGGGGTCTTTCTGTGTGGAGTTTGCATGTTCTCCCCGTGTTTGCGTGGGTTCCCTCCGGGTACTCCGGCTTCCTCCCACCGTCCAAAGACATGCAGCTTGTGGGGATAGGTTAATTGGATAATCCAAATTGCCACTAGGAGTGAATGTGAGTGTGAATGGTTGTCTGTCTGTGTGTTGGCCCTGTGACAGACTGGCGACCTGTCCAGGGTGGACCCCGCCTCTCGCCCTATGACAGCTGGGATTGGCTCCAGCGCCCCCCGCAGCCCTGAAAAGGAGAAGCGGTAGCGAATGGATGGATGGATTCTAGAACATAAATTACTGGTATCAGAAGAATCGATATTTCAGTGTCGATCCGCACACCACTACAGCAAACAGACAGCAGCAGTTATCAGTCAGACTAGATCAGGTAAAAATGTATTTTACATGTGGAGGAAAGCTTTAACTTTTCCAAAATCCTTCAAATATCTCTCTGTATAAAGGAAAGTGCTAGGAACGAGCTACATGATCAATGCTTTCAAAGGAATCTGATGTTTTTGGTATGCAGTGATAGTGTCTGTTTACACATATGTGTTTTTACACACGGGACATTTTAAGCTTAAATGTGGAATATTATTGTATTTCTTGATGATTGTTCTGTGAACACCACAGACCCACACAGCGTTCACAGTTAAATTGTCTTTATTGTACAGATTTTGCACACACACGATGCCTCCTCCTCGCCACCTCGACCACCGAGCTTCCTGTTCGGCACCTCGTGTTTCCCAGCTTGCAGCTGTGCTCTCACACGCCTCCCTTCGCCGGAGAGAGTTGGTCAGCCTAATTCCCTCCACCTGGCTCACTGTAGCGGAGCCAGAGACCACAGCCCTGCCATGTCCTATAAGTCATTTTAGTTCAGATTTATTGGTGGTGCCGGTTTACAGTCAGCTCTTTGTGCTTCTTCTGAAAGTTCTTAAAATGAAACATGTCTTTAAAATGTATTTCAGTGAAAGGACAAACATGCCGCCTGAGTCGGCACAAAGGAAGAGCGTACCAAGTAAGCTGCGAGACACGCCCCCATAGATACAGCACCGTGGTTATAATTGCCATATCTAAGCCAACTCATGTGCTTTTGTCTGAGCGCTGGTCTGTTCACCACACTGCTCCTCACATCGGCGCTCTTTACAATCAGATCTGTTCTTGCATTCACACAGACGCTCCTTCCCCCATCACTTTACAAAAGGCCACCGTTGCAACCCCCTCCTCCTTCACGTGCATCCTCCAACCCCCTTCCACACAGGAGCAGGTGCTAAGCCAGACTGTCTGCTGAGGTGAAGCGTCAGCCATTAAGGGAATTAAAAACAATCCTAAAATGTACAGGAGTGAAATTAAAAATGGGGTAATGTGCTCAGACTGTTTTGTTCCACTTAAAAGACGAGCTGCAGCATTTTGCACAACCTGCAGACGCCTAATGGACGCATCACTAACCCCACAATAAAGCGCGTTACAATAATCCAGCCTAGATGTAACAAAGGCATGGATTACTGTCTCAAAATGCTGTTTCGATAAGATGGGCTGTATTTTGACTAATTGCCTCAAATGAAAAAAGCGAGATCTTACAACAGACCTGGCTTTCAAGTTTAAGATCTGCCTCCATTTTAACTCCCAGATCAGTGATGACTGGTTCAACATACTGTGCCAGCGAACCAAGATCTATAGTAGTGGCCTCAGAAGAGCCACCAAGAACCATCACTTCTGTTTTCTGCTCATTAAAATGTAAAAAGTTCAAAGCCATCCAGGCCCTTATTTCATCAAGGCATCTACGCAGAGGGTCTACTGAGAAGCCATTTATCTTTATAAGTGGGAAACAACAGTGGAAAGAAATCCAATGTTTCCTGAAAATAGAGCCAAGGTGTTGAAGATGTAGGGAGTAAAGAAGCGGGCCTAAAACCGAACCCTGTGGGACCCCACAGTGCAGAGAAGCAGCAGAGGATGCAAACTCCCCGAGTTTCACAGAGAAATCCGCTCTGCCAAACAGGATCTGAACCACTGCAGAGCGGCACTGCTAACACCCACCAACTGCTCTAAACGGGAAATTAAAATGTTATGATCCGCTGTATCAAAGACAGCAGTTAAATCTAACAGCACGATAATAACACACCTGAGTCAGTTGGTAAAAACACATCATTAAAAACTCTTAAAACGGCAGATTAGGTACTATGTAAAGCTTTAAAACTTCTAAAGTATCGTGTTCTTCTATAAAGGACATTTATTGCTTGTAAACCACCTTTTCAAGAATTTTGGGGGTAAAGTAGGAAATAGGTCTGTAATTTGCAATAATATCAGGATTAAGAGCAGGTTTCTTAAGTAGAGGCTGAATCACTGCATGTTTAAGATTCACAGGTACAACACCAGAGGACAGACTACTATTTACTGCGTTTCATCCGAGAAACTTCTTCAGTAATAAGAGCGATTGGTGGAGAGTCCCAGATTTTAAGACCTACTGGGAGATGTCCCTTATGCTGGGCTTACACGCGATTTTTGGCTCATTTTGAGCATTTTTCAGTCGTGCGACCGTTTTGGTGATCGGCCCGAGTTTCGCCTTCATCGTGCGTCGTGCATCGTGTAGTATACGTGGGGTAACGAGAAGCGATTAACACCTCACGACCAGCTCCCGATCATCAATCGCTTGGTCGTAAGAAAATCAAACCTGGTTTGAAATCCTGTCGGCCGTCGTGAGGCTGTCACCGCAGCCTCTCACACTGCGCAGACACAGAAATGAAAGTGAAAAGACGGAGCAGCAGTGCAGCGTGTGACCTGGACACAAGCGATGGAGGCACAACTTGTAGAAC